AATTTCTTGCTCGTAATGCGACTAACAAACAGTTTATGTTTTTTCTTATTTCGGATTTAGATGAATTTTCAAACAAATAATGTCTGGATGAAGATGTAGACACTTTCATGTCCAAAATCATGTCCGATATCTATCAGATTCTTTAAAATAGATTTTCCAAAATATTATTATGAGTTGAGAACAAAATTACTTTCAAAAGAATACCCATCTTGAATTTTCAAGTTGAATGTTCCGGCCAAGCACTCCTCTATCACCTTGAAGTATTTCATAAGGACTATGTGTATGTGACAGCGCCCTCACAGTTTATTATCAGTTTACCAACAGCCAATCATATTGCTTCTTTCATCAACACGCTTGGCCAAGCTATCATGATCAAAATCCTCGGGCGGAGCTAAGTCACAAGACGCTCCATGCTGCTATTATAACGCGCACCACTCTACCATGTATTTCTATGGGCTGTGTGCAAGCTGCTGTGGAACGCCAGTCGAAAAGCCTGTGAAAATAGCTAAAATCAAGAAAACATCACAAACTTAACTTTGAAATAATGCTAAACAACCAAATTTAAATATGTTTGCATATGTAGGGGTAATCTTGTTTCACTGTTCAGGGGGTGGGGGTGGTGTCAACAACCATCCCAAAGTACCGTTTTCTGAAAGTGTTTGGCCTTTGTTTTCACCGTGATGGTTGCCAGTTGGTGAAAATGCCCGCCCCGAGAATAAATGTTCCTGGGCACAGTGGAAGCTGTGTTGGTTTGGATGTTGAGGCAATATAGCGACGATATCCATATATCATGCAACTCACAGATATTCAGACCAAAGTTATTGACGCTATACTTAGCGCCGAGTCTGATGTGTAAATCATTACGTTATTATTCTTTATCGTACTTGCGACCATGGAGTGTGGTAATAGTGTGGTCACCACTGTTGAGTATTATAGAAGAGTAGGTGTTATTATAAAAGAGTAGGTGTGTGTACCTCAAAGCTCATGTCAATGCAACATATATCAGCAGAAATGAAGCTGAAGATGAAGACATCAGAAATGCAAAGCTCCGAGCGCTTTTCGCAGGCATTGTAACAAAGCTTTCTATCGTGCAACGACGTAACATACACGGTTATGAATAGAATTACCGCACGGTGATGTGGAGGGAGGAATGTTCGAACGGAACAACACCGTGCAGGCAGACGATGATGAATACCTTACCCAACTGATGTTTGTAACAAACTAAAACTACTGACTGCACCAAGGTTCGTATTATATCCAGTCTTTCCTATATACAACAAACCATTATATGTTTAATCCAAGTAACCATGGTATTTGGACCAGTCAATGTGATGACAGGTAAGAATAGAACACTTTTTGAGGGGCATACACAAGTCATGTGACCCTCGCCCTCAATGAGATCTCGCGGCCATTTTTGTCTAAGGCCTATTCTGGTAACAAGAATTTAACAGTTTACAGTGTACATAAAACACAAGTCATGTGACTCTCACTCTCAATGAGATCTTGGCGACCATTTATGTCTAAGATCCATTGGGGATTATCAGAAACCACAAGGACCGAGTTTCAAACGTTTAAAATCACATTTTTCTGTATTACTGGCAGCACTATATTTCTGGTCATTAATAACATTTTGAGCTGAGAAAAATTGAATGTAGTGGTTGAATATAATGACTGTATACTATTAGTATTATGTGTTGTTCAGAATTAACTTTGCTTGAACAATCTTATTAGCCGAATTGTGTGACATCTCACAAAATGTTGGAAATAGTCCTTTGATATCTGACATACATTGTGTCTGTGATATTTATTTCTAAGTTCATACTAAGAGCAGACACCACTGAGACTCCTATCGCTAGGAATGAACTACTTTGTCTTCTTCTTCTTCATCTTGTTTTTCTTCCTCTTTGACATGTTCGGTTGTGAATTGAATGTGTCTATTTAAAAAAAGAAGAATCATGGTGATATGATCAAGAGAGTAGAACAGTCCCTGGGGAGAGGTCATACTATTGCTGGTCAAAAAAGATAATAATTTTCGGAAATAATTGTTATATAGCTTAGCCAACACTTTGAATGACGAAGTTCCTTTTGTCACTGTTCAGAAAAAAGCTTTCCAGATTTGTACAAAAATTTGGTGGAAAATTGGAAATTGGTTAATCATTATGCAAATTAAGAAATTAATATGCCAAAACAGGTATGCAGATTATTTTGGACGCCTATGTACCAGTTCTTGACGTATCAGTGGAACAAATTAAAATATGATTATTATACAAATTAAATTGTTAATATGGAGATTTCAGCCCAAAACTATGACAACACTTTTCTGGTTTTGCCAGAGTATGTATGTATGTCATTTTATTTAAATCCATTGAGTACATTTTAATATAACAGTGGAATATACTGCCAGGAATGCTTGATTTCAATGATTTTTCATAACAAAAATAGGTGCCATTCAGCTATCTTGAATCAGATCGTGAAACAAATTGATGTGCATATGTATAATATTATGTATGATGTATGTGTGAATTTCAATGTAATCGGTCCAGGCCTGTCTAAGATATAGAAGATATAGGTATGCATGGACACATGCACAAGGTCAATCCATAAGTCCCCTTTTTCGGATGGCATTCGAATGGGGGGGGGGGGGGGTAATAATGCAGGGAACAAGTATTACATCATCACCTTTGGGAGGAGCATCTGGGTACACAGGAAAAGTACCAGGAATCTGGTCTGGTTCTAACTGATGAGGAAGCAACAAGCTTGTATCCAATGGCAACCATTCATAATGAGAACCAGGTTGTTTCAAGACATCACTTTGCAAATTATATGTACCCCTAAACAAAACAGAAAGTCACAGTAAAGGGACATAATTAATTTTAATGAAACAAAATATCAGTTCATTTTCTTTCTATGATTGTACATTGAGGAAAATCAAAATTTTAATTAGTAGCAAAATCTAAATTTTCCTCCTTGTCAGCTTTAACATATTAATTAGTGTGTGTTCAAAAACCAATTATCACAATGAAAGTGTCTTACCTTGACTCAGTACTTCGATAAATACAAAGATGAACATCTTTTGATGAATGGGATAACAGATATTTACCAGCTGGCAACCTATGTGAAAACAAAATTAAACATTTAAATATTTGGAAATATTTGAGTAAGAGCAAATGTTAAGCTTATTAACCCCGGTAACACCTGAGCGGAGTGAAATGACTACTGAAGAAATAATATTATATTTAGCTACAACATATTTTGGTCATTCGCAGAAAAGTAAATTAAACATTAGGAAAAGGTGTTGCTTATTATAAATTCTTATAATTTAAATGTGCTACA